TTCAGGATACGAGAAAAGATTGTCATTGTCGAACAGGATATATAGATTCTATTTATTTTTTTTTTATTTTCATCTTTTTCGTTTTCTTAAGAAAAAAAAAAGAAAAAAAAAAGAAAAAAAATGAAAAAAAAAATAAAAAAGAAAACGTACTTTTCGATTATTGCTAGAAACGTTCGGAGAATCTCGAGATAAACGTATCGATCTCTTGTATTCGGTTTCCAAGTAAAATCCAGACTCGCATGGTAGCTTAAGAAGGACTTGTTGCTTTCTAAACACGAGGAACCGTTGCAGGGTTCAATGCACGTACTCCCAACTATCAAAGTCTACGATCTTTCAACTCGATCGCATCATAAATTTTCTATAATGAAAATGAAAAAGAATAAGAGAAGAATTCGATAGAAAAATCGTCGTACTTTTTTAACCAAAGAAAATTCCATTGATTTCTTTTTAGTATATATAATACATGGAAGAATAGGAAACGATCCGCAAGACTTTTTAGAATAAGAGGTCCAAAATAAAAGAAATGGAAAAAATTAATCGACGTACACCCACCCCCTCCCACAACCCCATTACAAGGACCACGAGTTCGCGAATTGTTATAACAAGTGAGTAAGCACGTTGATGAAAGTGTGCGGTTATGACGGATATCGGTGTTGTTCTTTCCTTGAGAAGAATTCATCCCTTAAGAAAATACAAGCAATAACCTCCGGATTCTCATTGGAAGCAGGAAGGTGTAAGAGAAAGAGTAAGAGGAGATGAAAGAGGAGGGAAGGAGTGAGAAGGAAAGACGGGTGGTGAGGTTGCAGAGGGATAGCTCGAAAGACGTTGCGTAGAGGAGGAGGAGGAGGCATCCGAGGGGCGGCGTAGGAGAACTACGCCGTTAGAGGTGGAGGAAAAGGTGAAGGTGGAGAACTCGGAAGGGGTAGTGTGGGTTAAAGGTAGCGGGCCAGAGCCTCACTTTATTTTTATGCAGTTATTGATCTCCGTAGAAGCCGACACCCGGCGTACCCACTCACCTCTCCCACCCCTTTAGCCACCCCTTTACCTCCTTCTCATCGCTGCTCAGTCTCTCTCTCTTTCTCTCTCTCTCTCTCTCTATCTATCTCTCTCCTTTTCGTTCCTCCTTCGTCTCACCTCCCACGCAGCCTTGCGCCTCCAAACACCCCCTCGTGCAGTGGTGGCGGCAGTGGCGGCGGCGACGGCGGTGGTGGCGGCGACGGGTAACTAGCTTATCAAAAAATGGGCGTTGCCGCGTCTCACTGTCTCCTTCTCTCTCCCTCACCCTCACCGTCGCCCTCTCCCACTCCCTCTCCGTCACCCTAGCCCTCTCTCTTCAACCTACATCCCTTTCTCTTTCTCTCCCTCTTGCACACACATATGTATATGTATATATATACCGAGCGAGAGGGTGCGCTACATCTCTCCGTCTCTGATGCATCTGTCTCTCTACACAGCGTCTTCCATTGTGGCCCGCACACCTGCCTCGTCGCGGGGTGGCCCTCATTGGCGAATCGACGCCGGTGGATAGACGAGGCTCGTCGAAGAGGCTGCTGGGCCGAGGCTGCGCTTCCGTCGCGTTACCTACGCAAGTGATGCTTCGGGGGTAGCTCGTCCGATGGTAGAGAGGAAGGGGGTGAAACAACGAAATAAGATATCGAAAAGTGAGAGGCTGACGGAGAAAGAGAGAGAGAGAGATAAAGGTGGGGACGAGACGATGGTACTATCCCATCCTGCCCAGCCGAACCACCACCATCACCACCACCCCACATCCCCATTTTCTTCCAGGGTGTGTCCCATGCTTCTTCGATTTAGGGTAGGTTCGGAGCCAACCGAACGTCCATATTTCTCCCTTTTCCTCTTCTCTTCTTCTTCTTCTTTCTTCATATATTTACTTTCTTTCTTTATTTCTTTCTTTCTTTCTTTCTTTCCTTCATTCTTTTTCTCTCTCTCTTTCTTTCTCTCTCTCTCTCTCTCTCTCTCTCTCATTCTTTCTATCTTACTTTCGGCAAGCTCTTAAGCCTTCCTTCCTTCTCTTTCTTTAACGACTATATATCTTCATCTCTTTTCTTCCTTCTTCGTCTCCCTCGGTACGAACAACCTCGACAACGAACCCCTCACTCTCTTTACCCCTTTACCACCCTTATATTCCTCGCCCTCTCCTGGCCACGCGGGACTACGCAGCTGTATGCGTGCGTGGCTGCGTGTACATGTGTGTATATCTATACGCGAGAGAACCGATCGATGTTATATACCCCTCTCCTCTCCTCTCCTCTCTCTCACTCTCTCTCACTCTCTCTCTCTTTCTCTCATCCTTCTCCGCCTCTATCTCCGATCCACCCCCTCTTGGTCCTTAATTACGCGCGATAGGGACGCTACGTTCTTTTCTTTTCTTTCTTATCGTTTCAAAGCGACGCCCTCTACTAAACAACCATATTAAAAAAGAAAAATCTAAAAAGTCGAAATTTTTTCAAATTTTAAACTTTCCTATTAATCCTTTTGACGATTCATAAAATCAGATAGAAATTTCAATTCATCGAATAGTTTAATGCGAAATTTTAACAAGAATCGCCAATGACTGACACGATCAAAAAGTTTCCGATTAAAATAATTGCATTTGCTTTTTCCAATAATTTTCAATAATCGTGGAAGCATTAATATATATACATACATATATAGATATATATTTTTTGTCTCTTTTCTCGGACTCTTTCTCTCTTTTTTTTTTTTTTACCTCTCTCACTCCAAATCGCAATAGATTTCGGAATTTGTATGATGAGAAATACGAATAATCCATTTCACTAATTATCACAAATAAACGCATTATTACAGGTAATAAAGCTGAAATCGATGTATTCGATCGATATCACACATGTTACCATTCGATAGTTTAAACCTTCCTTACGATTATTATTCTTACTCCTACCCTCCCTCCACTCCCCCCCCCGCCACAAAAAATAAGATTTAGGATTATAGGTTTGAAAATTTTCGATCTTTTTTTTCTCGTCACGCTTGAAAATTTTATCGCGTATCTCAAATATACAGATGAAACGTTAATAATGAAATATGATTCTAAGAGAAGGTAGATAAAGTTCATCGTCGTCATCGATAAGAAAAAGAGGGTTAAGAAGGGTTCGGAAGAGGGTTGGGAGGAATCGTAGATGGTCGAAAACAGGTCGGTGTCGTACTGGCTGCATAGCAACAGGCATCTGTTGCAATAGAAGAAGCGATAGATGTGGTAACAACGATGACTTATATATCCGGACCCACAAACACGGAATCTTCCCTTATATGTATGCACTTACGTTACTTACGTCTGTCTACGTATATATATGTATGTATGTATGTATGTATGTATGTATGTATGTATATATATATATATATATAGAAATGTCTATGCTCCTAGCAAATATTCGCTAGCGGGAGAATAAAATGAAACTTAAACCTTTGCATTGTCTCTTTGCTAATAAATTTTGTTTCACAAATTCATTAATAAATAATTATATAATATATTGAAATAATTAATTAAAATTAATTAATTAAAAATTTAAATTATTTATTATAATAGGATCGTTTATTACGAAAATGCATTTATACCACTCTTACATGTATTAGTTATGATAAATAAAAAGACAAAAATCTGTATTTATTCAAAAGAGAATTAATAGTTCTTTTTTTATTCACCTTCGCATATTATAATAGTTATTAGAACTAATTTTTTGTAATATATGAAGAGACAAAAATTAGGACGATAAGTTCGATGGATAGATAAGGAATTAATATTTGATTAAAAATAAAAAAAAAAAGGTACGTGTCGCACGACAGAACATATGTACATTAGCATTATGCACACTTACACACACATATGTATGTACTAGCGCGATATACCGCAGCGTTATCATAACCTAGTGACGCCAAATATTGATTTTGACACATGCACATGACGAGAGACTGAATGTTCATCTATATGCATATAGTATCTATATATATCGCGATCGCTCCGATGCACGTTGGATTCTCTCACACGCGTGCAAGCCTATTGCTTAACCCGTCGTCAAATTTGAATTAGAAAAGTTGAATTTAAAGTTTTTCGAATTAAATTTCGCGCGTAAGATAAGCGTATCATGTGACCAGAAAATTTGAAAAAAAAGAACGCGCTATTATTAGTGGCTTATCCGATTAAACATAAATTAAAATATTGTATTTATTATTAAATAAATTGACAAAAAATATGAATTATGCGAATTTGTATTAGTAATAGTTTATAAATCAGACGAATAATTCGGTTTTTTCGAAATATTCCGTGTTCGAAAAGAAATAAAATTTGATTAGCAAATGATTAGAATTTACCTATTCGGCATGATGTTTTCACGATCGGTTAGTACGAATGCACGAAGCGTTGTGTAAAAGGAGGTCATGGTACAACCAAATAACAATAATAATATCGGACCTATAAGACCATCGTCCCCATCGCAAAGAACAACTTGAAATTCCGCCATGTTAAGATATTTCATACTAAGGACCTCTCTCGTAGAATATATATACTATTACTTCTTTATCATTGCAGTTTTCTGCATTCGATCTTATCGACATTTGCATGAGTAAGTTGGGTACATTATAAATATGTATTATAAATATTGAAAATATATTTTACTTAACTTCTTAACAAAATATAGCCAAAAAATGATCTTGACAATTTTTCTTTTTAAATTCTTTTAATTTAAATCACAGGATTAGTACTGAAACTAAAACAAAAATTTAAATATTAATTAAAAACAGTTTTAAAACAAAATACTGCATAATTAATTAAATAAAAATGTGACTATTTTACTTATTTACAATTATATTATTATTAAAATAATTATATGTACGTCTTCTAACTTCAAGAATAAAACTATAAATCGTTTGATTTATTTCGATATTAGTTCCGAGATAATATTCGATTTGGTGTAGATGACGCTGGAAGTAAACCGCGTCCAATCAGAGCCGATTAAACGGCTACCTTTGGCTATGTCATAAGCTGTCACATTGACGATCGTGTGTAAATATGAATATTTCATTAATAAAATGGCTTCTGGTAATTTACGATTGCCGGTAATTATGGTGAAATGTAGATATACAATACGATTATTCGTTAATATTTTCTTGAGGTATGTTGATTCATTTATTAATTTTTTAAATCGATTTATATGAAAAGTAGAAAAAAAATTTTATGTTTCGCAAAAAAGATGCTAAATAAAAAAGAAGAAAAAATAAAACAAATCGATCAAATTACATTTGAGGACTCTTGGATTATTATTCGCTTCTTCTTTGTTATCAATTATAATTGTTAATTTACGTTGATCGTAGATAATAAATAGCTTATTTAACTGTAATCACTATGCTTATTAAATATCTTCCAATTTTTCTTTTTATGCGCTTATCTTAGTAAGAATGATTTTAATCAACTAACCTATTCTTTTTTAACAGAGTAAAATGTGGTTTAATTCCTATTTTTTTTTCAGAAAGAACTCGAGGGATTAGCAGTCTATTTAACAATTTAAATAATTGTTAATATTTTTCTTCTTCTAAGTCACTGATCACTAATCACAATCGCAGTGCTTGCAGAAATCCAAATCTGTGCGTATTTTGTGTTTAATATGGCATACACATCACTGCCACAACTTATCAGCTTAAATACATTACCATCTAATAATGTTGAGAAGACTTTATCTGAAGTAAGTGTTAATTCAAATATTTCAATATGTAAAGGGGATGCTATCATGTAAGCGTAACAATAATTTACTGATGATCCATTTACGTCCATAGTCTTTAGAAAAATTGTGTTGACAAATGCCCAGCTATGCGATCACGTAATGTTTTCAACAAGAAATCTTAACAACGTGATTGTGCTGCTTGGGACTCATATGATTAATTAACGTGTTTCTTACTATAATGCGAAGAAGAGTTTCTACACACAGCCGTAAACTTATTTGTTACATTAATTACTGCCACAAATGTGCAATGCTCGACTTTTAATGAAAATAGATGTGTCGCAGATATGTGACACCAGTAGCAAACGTGTTAATAGATCAACTATGATTTACATTTGATATATTCCATGTACTCAAATATTATTTACTATAACAATGTTTATAATTTGCAGATATTACAGTCAGATCCAGTAAGACGGCTTCTCAATCAGCCTAATATTATTATCAAGACAGTTCCAGTGAATACTCAACCTAAATCAAATTTTACATCAAATGCTATCAGCTCAAGTACTGTTGATATCTCTACAAGTGTATATGGAAATAAAAACAATGGTACCCACTCGGATTTGAGTAAAAACAAACAATCAGAATTAACTATACTTTCTATTAAATCAAATAAGGACGAAAATGTGGAAGACGAAAATGTGGAAGATGAAAATCTTTTACCTTCAAAAACAGAAGGAAAATCTGAAATCTCCTTGCTACCTATCAGAAGAAAGAAGAAGGATTGTGGACACTGTGAACCTTGCGAGAACATTACTTGTGATGTTATTGTTGAACAGTGTATAGATAACAATGGAATATCTCTTATGTTAGCTTTTAATATAGAAGAAAGTGAAATAGATGCACCTGTGTCGAAACATTGTAAGAACAGTTCTTGTGATGCATTAAGTATCGACCATGATCGTTGTCGTAAAGCAATTATAAGATTAAACAGATTCGATAAATATAAAATATGTGATATCTGTGGTATTACATTGAAAACACTAAAATCTCGAATACATCATAAAAATTGCAAAAGGCGGAATGAATACAGACATAATAAAATAAATAGCACGCAACTTTTAAAAGAACGAATGCGCGAAAGAGAATTGCAAATGGTAGAAGATGCAAAAGCAAAGAAACAAGATTATATGGATCCAATAACAGGATATAATCGTGCTATGGATTTTTTAAGAAAAAATGATGAATTAATAATTATTCCTAAAACACAGTCTCCTAATCAATCTGGCATGACTGTAACTTCCTCGTCTAACCAAATTAATCAGCAACAAACGAATAACATCGGTAATATCTCTGCAAATTATTTACCTAATATACCTCTGGCATTTCCACAGCAAAATATAGTTCTAAGTCAAAATGCAGGTTCTAACGAAACTAATGCTATGCAAACTAATGTAACATATATGCCAAACAGCATACCTCTAATGAATACTTCGACTACTACGATTCCAAGTCAATTAATAACATTGACTAATCCACCTCAAACCTGCGTACAATCTATATCATTGAATGATTGGTTGTTATCGCAATCTCATATTATTACAGCTTCATCCCTTAATTCTAAACCATTTATAACTCCTATTCGTGTTGTACCAATAACTAACTTAATAACACAGCCGTCGTTACTACATCAAACGCAAGGTATTCCAAAATTTTGTATTATGGCAGATAATTCATTACCAGCTTTAACTGTACCAACTTTAACAGTACCAGCTTTAACTGTACCAGATATAAAGCCTGTTGTATCACCAAAACCAATAGTCAAGCCAAGTAGCAATCCAGTAAAAAATCCTAAAAAAGAAGAATTACCCAAGCGTAAACGGTCAGGAGTTAAGAAAAATGTACGAAAAAGAAACCGTAAAAAAGATTTGAAATGTAATTATTGCAACAAACACTTCAGCACGGACTGGTACTTCAAAATTCACGTTGCTATGCATAGTGGTGAGAAAGCTTTTACATGTAGATTATGTCAAGAGTCATTTAGTAATAGATATGATCTAAAAAAGCATGTAACAAATGATCATAAGGACGAGAGCATTAGTTGCAATGATTGCGATTTCATTTGCACTTCGTATTCATCACTCGACAAACATATGAAAATCCATTCACACAAATGTGATGAAAATGACATTTCAGTTACAACCGTCAATGATCTTAATTCTAATAAACAGAAATGTAATAGTCAAAAAGAAACTGATATTAATAATACAACGGATACAGAATTAGAAGGTAAGGAGATTAAAAAAGTAGGAAAAAAAAATCATGACAATTCGAATGATCTTTGTAATAAAAGTAAAGAAAAATGTGTTAATGGTACAGGCACGAAGCTTCTTGATGCTAATAAAAAAAGTATAAAAAAGCAAGAAAAACAAAAAAAAGTTTCCTTAGGAGAAACTAATGGCATTAAGGTAAATGGTGCTGATTCTCTTCCGTAATAAAATCGAGAAGAAATGAAATTTAATGAGAACCACAAGCTATAGTATAATGTTTGAATGTTAATCATCACCCTGATAGAATATATTCTCTATAAATAAACAAATCACATTCCATGCCAAAACTTTTATAAAGGCTACATGAAGCTTAATGCTTTTAATGAAATGATATTTCTTTAAAATAAATAAACGATTAATGTAAACGCGTACTATGATTACTATGATTATTTATTTCAAATATGATTCTGCTGCAAAGAGAGTAAGACATTAAAAATTAGTATTTCTTCTAAATAAATCACACATATTTTTTCAGCATGAGAAGCACATTTACTAATGGAAGAAATTCTAATTTTCTTGATTATTGTTATAGTTAGCTTTGCAGCAGCAGCAGCAATCCACAGTAGCAGTGGCACGTGCGATATTTTTATTATGAAATTAAAAATTACTAAATTATTTTTTTTTGAAAGAGAGAATCGTAGAATGAAAAATGTATTTTTTGTAATTTTAAGTAGCCTTTAATGAATTACGGATTAGCCGAGTATTATTTATAAAATAAGAATTACAATTAGAGATAGATTGTATAAATTGTGTGAACTGTGATAGATGGCCACCTTTGCTAAAATTATTTACCATATATTTCATTTATTTAAATTTTTATTTAGAAAGATAGTATCCCTTTATGGTTTTTTTTTTTTTAAATAATATATTATTTGTATGAAATTTAGTCTTACTTGAAAATTTTCTGAGAACGATGCAAACATAATGTCTAATGATAAATTTGAGCACATCTCATCGACCGGTGTATAAATATTACTCTAATCATATATACTGAATATAGAATGTTAGTAGATATACATATCACTTAACGCACAGATTATCTAAGTGACGTTTTATTGGCTTTTCTTTCTCGTTAGTATTTTTTGTAATATTACGAGCAATGTTCAAACAACTCTAACAATTTTTAATATTTAAAAAATGTAAATATTTTGGTGCTATTATTTGACTATCATATATAAACTATTATGATTTAAATTTAATATTCAATTTAATATTTCACAAGTTTAAAAATGTGCTGCAAATAAGTAGTATATAATACATTATAACATAGATTTTTCTTCCTCCTTACAATTTATATTTTTTGTCGGTCTTGTTTGAATGCATTTTATGGTATTAGAAGACCAGAACATATGTATTCTCATATTTATGAACAAAACATATATATATATATATATATATATATTTAAATTGTAAAAGATAACACATGTAATATTTTTATATGTTTAATGCGTAATATATATATACAAGGATACAGAAGTGTGCTCATCTTTCATGTATACACTTGTATAATCACTTATTCTTGAAAAAAGTCTTATATATAACAACAAAAAGTAGCAATATCGCAACAAATATAAGTGTGTTAATTTATAATATATACAAGAAAAAAAAAGAAAAAGAAAGAAAAAATGTACAGCGAGAGAATGAATTTATAATTTATGATTGTAAAGAAGTATAAAAGTATATATATATACATACCCATTTAACCCTTTTGTTACAGCATGCTTCAGCACAAGTATCGTTTCACGTATACAAATCGTCGCATGGTAAGACCCTTATATGGATCAGTCTTTGCATAGACAACCCGTATATGGGTTGCTAGTAACGAAAGAGTTAAATGCAATATTTTGGCTTATATTATTTCGATTTATGTAATATAATTTTGTAATACTACAAAACTACTAAATGTATGACTAATAACCGAAAGACTAGAAAGAATTTTGTTTGTAAATATTTAAAAAGATATTTCATTGTCTAACGTAGAAAAAAAGATATACGAACAAATTCTTATTCTATTGTAATCATTAAAAAATGCATAAAACAAAGTTTATGCATTTAGTATGTTTTATCAGATTCAAAATATATAAACAAATGTATACACACGTTAAAAAATATTTTTAAAAAAACTAAAGAAAAAGATCTGATAAAATATCACGTGCCTTTTAAATCGTAAATGTTCCTAACAAATATAGTCTGTTTTAAAATAAAAATACGAAAAAAGTGCAGAATATTTTCCATATTTACATATTATGACTACGTAAATATATTGCCAATTGTTTTTACTTTAATGTCAGTGTTATCCTAAATTACTATTTACTATTATTATTATTATTACTATTATTATTATTATTATTACTATTATTATTATTATTATTACTATTATTATTATTATTATTATTATTATTTTTATATTATTATATTTCGAATTAACATTTGACTGGGAGAGAAAAAATAATGAGTAAACAAGAAAAAAAAAGAGGAAAAATAAGAAATTAAAATCTTAAATACACCATGCATCCATCTCTCGTTTAGAATGATTAACGTGATAGCAAAGAAAGAAACCCCCCCCCACCCCCAAAAAAAAGTAATTAAAAAAAAAATTCTCGTTTAAAATATTAAATAATAATAATAATAATAAAGTTATCTATATATATATATATGCGATATCACGGATATCGTTTAAATTGTCACAGTATAGTGACAATAAAAGTGTCGTTGATCGTTTAAAAAAAATAAATGAA